ATCGGCGCTTTTGTGCGGGTCTTCGGTGTCTTTTGGGCGCAACGCAGAGATAACACAAACACTTCCAGTATATGAATTTGAATGAGTGGGCCATCGCGTGGCCGATGCTCGACAGGCAGAACAACATCAGAGGGATGCCTATTATGGCGTATAGGATTGTCACCACTTTTCCCCAGTCTTAACATGTATTGGTAATAATTAATGTTTTCTCTGTTTAATCCGTGGTTTAAAAGTTTGTGTACCAGTTCTGGGGGCGATATTCCCGTAGCCTATGGTTGTGATCACGATAATAGAGTACAGCAAAGAGCCTGAGAATGACCACTGAGACGACTTCCGGGTCACGTCATCACTGCCTTTAAATCATAATTATTTGGTTTAGTATTTTATGAATTATTTGTCAACTAATCATTATTTGAAAATCTACAAATATTCGTATCATGTAAAATTATATTCTTCAGTAACAGGAATAATTTGATATACAAATAGTTTTTTGATTTTATTATGTAAAAGTATAGATTTTGAAAGGGTAAAAATGAATTAAGTGCCGGTATTTCCAAGTTATTTATACAGTAATCAATTTAATTCTGATATCCTTTGAAAATAAATTATAATATAATGTCGGAAATAAAAATAATCAATTAAATAAATAAGTAGATCTAAATTTATTAGTTATTTAAAAACTTCATAAATTAAATTATATTTAGAAAATGAACAACAAAAATAAAAGGTTTAAGTTATGGTATATTCTAGTGGTAATACAAATATTCAGTGCATTTGTTATGATAAACTCGTGAACATACAGAATAATTGGCTTGAACTCAATATCAATATTACACTAATAAGCAAATTTAAGTCATTTACTATAATATAGTGTAGAACTGAATCATATTTCACATTTATTATTTTGACTATACATATTTCATATAAATATTATTTATACAATATTTTATTATGGTATTCAGAATACAAATACAGTAGGGTATTTGTAAATATAATTATACTATTATATATTCTTTTGTAAGATCTTTATGCAGAAAATAGTTTAAAATAGTTTTATATTTGTAAACTCATTGATAAAAATCAACAGAGTTCATAATGAATGAATTTGTTTGTTGGCAATTCATTTGATCGAGATTTAAATCAAATTACTTGTCATAAAATTTCATTAAAAACTAATCATATTAACAAAGCGAGTGATTATTCTAAACAAATACTGTACCTACTTTATAGCTGTATATACAGTATGTACAGCTTATTATGAGTGCAGCATAATTCTGGGAATTATAAGACAATTTTAAATGCATTTCGAAAACATTAGATTTACACAATAACAGCAATTTTGTTGTACAAAGTATTTCCATTTGTTTATTTAAATTTTAAGCTAATTTATTTATTTTAGAAAAATAAACATTGATTAAAAATTAAAAATACCATAAAATAGCATTTTAGGCAATAGAAGTGCATATTAAATTACTTTAAATTGCCCAAAACTCACTTTAAACAAAACAAAATAAAAATAAAATATTGTTAACCTTATAGAAAATGATAAACTAACCAGAATAGATTTTTGATAACTACATGAAAAACTACGATAAATTTATAATTTAGTAAACAATTCTGTGACTCATAATCAGTATAAATAAAAACTACTTAATAAAAGAAAATCATAAGAATTGGTATATAATATGCAATAATAGTGAACACAAACCGTCGTATCCCTTGCGGAGAACAGCCTCCAGGAGTGTCTTCTCGAAGGTCTCCAACTTGCCTTCGGCCGCATGAGTCCACTCGTGTTGGCTGAGGACAGGGCTCTCTTGGGTTATATTCCAGAGCTGTTGAATCATATGCTCACGAATTGTCAACATCTCGAGCCTCTGTTTCTCCTCATTCTTGAGTTCCAGTGCCTGGAAAGTGAAGGCACCCATCAGTGCATAGCCGATGAGGAGAGTGCAGAGGCCTATGTGTGAGAACAGGAAAGTTGTCACTTGTCGGCAATAGTAGCAGCATTTGCCACATCGGGTCAGGTGTTTGCGACCGGTCACTGCCATGTATTACATTAGGCACCACTTATACAGACCAACAATCGCTTAATATTCTTATATGACTTCACTTAAGAGTCAAGAATTGAGTACTTCTTAAGAGAATACAAAAGTCTGTTGAGAAGAATGTGAAGAATCAGAGCAATACTGAACTGAATTCATTGCATTCATGTCTTACACAACGCGATCACAGATACTCTATAACACTACAACACACTCTTATGGTCTACTAATAATAGATTACTTAAAATAAAGTTTATATTTAGCCAATTCTTTGCCGCTAATACACTGCACTATACTGTACTGTACTGTACTTATGCTGTAACTCCTTACAAGTTAGAGATATATTCCGACAATTAGTTAACAGATTCTTAAAGAATAACAATAGGAATGATAGAGTTGTTCATAATTTTCTTTTTGTTGGCAAATGTTTTTAAATCAATTATATTTCTGGAGTGAAAT